ATATAATTAAAGGGCTTGGTAGCCTCTTTTTAGGTGGCCAAGGGGTTATGGGATCAAACCCTCTCTTAGCCACCTAAACCAAATATTTCTTGAATAAAAATATTGTTGGCATTGGAATTTAGGTGGTCGGCCACCAACTACCCTACTAGTGGCAGCAGAGGCTCTAGTGACCTTGCTACCAGTAAGGTTTTGGCGACGGTCCAATGGTAGTGACAATGGGAAGGTGACTTTTTTTTTTTAACTTTTAGGGATAATTTAGTCTTTTGATCTCACAAATTAATATCAGTCAAGAACTAAGAGATTGTAATTTTGAAGTCCAATTATCCTTGACTGATATTAATTTGCTCTCGAGGTTGGTTGCTATTTTTCCATATTAATACACTGACACCCAGACGAACACGAAAAGTTGCAGAGGAATATTGAAGCCTCTCCGATTCTTTTGTAGTTTCTCGTCTCCGTCACATTAATTACTCAGGCGACCAGGAAAAGTTGAAGAGATTATAGAACAAGGCGATGAGGAGGCTACAATTAAGAAGGGAGAAAATGAATGAGTCATAAGGCTGCAGAATTAAAATAGGTTTTAAAAGGTATATAAAAAAAATTTGGGTGCTTTGCAGATGAAAAGTTTTTGTGTACACCCTTCTCTTCCCAGCTATTAGATATAAACACATGGTGAGGATCTCCCCACTTTTCAGTCACCTTACCCAATTCACTGTGCCAAATCTGTTCTCCCCTTTCTCATCATGTGCCGCGTCTGATCCATAATCTCCAACTTCATATGTTTTCATTGAATGATCATTTCCGTGATTTGATTTTTGAGGTTCTAACCTTTGATGGATTTGAATCTCTTTCTCCCTGAATTTCCTGTTTTAGGTTTGAATTACTAGATTATATTGAGAAATGAGACCTTATCAATTTGATCTATATCCGATCATTTTGATTTGATTGATAGCTGACTGCTTGTATATTATCTTAAAAAATTTAAGAATGCTGCATTTTTGGTACAACTTTTACTCAAATATACAAAGTTAAATAGAGCAGTTAAAAAGAGTAATCAATTTTAGAGCTTGCATGGAATCAGTGATCAGTCCAATTCATATTGAAGAACTGGACGATTGTGTTAGGCATACATATATCAATCTCAATCTCAATGTCAATATATTAAATAAAATATGTAAGGAACTACGTTGTTTATAAATTATAAACAAGGGTTGGTTTGCATTGAGCTTGTTGCTCATGGTTAATGAATATTGTGCTTTCATTTTCTTCTCATTATTCCTTTCTCTTCAACATGCTTAACAATAATTTTATTATAGAAAAACTACTAAAACATGCAGTTCACAACGTATGTAGTTCACAACGTGCAGAGAAGGGGATCATAAAAAAAACATGAGTGAGTTTGAAGGTCCAGCAACATCTCTAGCATTACCCCTGCCTCTTCCCCTAGCCAGAAAGATCACAGTGAGTGTGGCTGCGACTGGCAATGGAAGCCTCTTCCAGTATCACCTCATGGTGGTCCTCACCTTGATCTGCAGTCATCCTGGCCTCTAGACGCTCCCCTGGAGCCGCGGGCACGACTATAAGCAGATCCACCTCTTTCTATTGGAGCAATGGGGAGAACGTAAGAATAGTACCACCGGCACAACAAAGAATAGTACTGGTGCAGATAAGTCTATACCCATATAAGGTAAATCTGTACCCATATAAGAAAGGTCCATATCCATATAAGATGTAACGTAAAAAACAAGGACCGGTATGGATGAAATAGTATGGGTATGGAGAATATCGGTATGGGTATAGCGAGCTGAGTATTGGTATAGAGGAAATAGTATGGGTGTAGAGAGCTGAGGATAGGTATAGAGGAATTAGTATGGGTATAGAGAGCTTGTATAAGCAAGATTAGTACCCGTATAGAGAAAAAGATCTTCCAAGAATGGATAAGTTTTAGTGTTCCGAAACAATTATAAATGACGGATTAAAACCACCTGAAATACTTTCAAAGAACAAAGGTTTGTAACGAAATAAGTTTTAAAAGATTCTGGGCAAAGTCGAACACTTCTCCCTTAGAAAATTACAAGGAATCAAGGCTTTAGAATTTAATACATTTCATATCAATATCAGTATAACCAAAGTAATATGGGTGTAAGGACTTGAAAGAACTAGGAATCAGAGTTTAATGCGTAAGAGTCTAGTTACCTCTTGATTTCCTTAAATGCCATTAAATTTTTCTACTAAACAAAATTTTCTTTATTTTGTAATCATTAAAATCAGGGTTTAATAAGTGGTACTAGTGTTAGGATACTACCTGATACAATTGATAATTTGAGGCACCTTCGTCATCTTGATGCCTCAAAACATAATCATTGAAAGCTTGCTAGAATCAATCACAAATCTACGAGGGTTGGAAACAATTAAGCGAAAAATTGCTTGAAGTTTTCTCTTATGATTATAGATATGAAGAACTCAAGTCTTCGACACCTTGAGTTGGATATAAAAAGGAAAATAAACTCTATGCCAGCACAATTTGGAAGATTGACAATTCTTGAAACTTTATTTGCATTTCTTGTGGCCAAAGAGGAGGGACAGTAAATTGAGGAGCTTAAAGATATGAATTACCTTTTGATCGGGGAGCCATTTGCATCACCAATCTTGAAAATGTTACAAATAATAAAGAAGCTGCTGCAGCCAAAGTTAGATCAGAAAGCATATTTGGACAAGTTATTGTTAGAATGGAAGGTTACATCTCACCAAGCAGCACCAGAAGTCTTGGGAGGTTTGTGGCCCAATAATCTGATCAAGAAGCTAACTATATTAGGTTATAGCGGTGCCACATTCCCAGATTGGCTCCTAAGTCAATCATCTTGCATGCTAGCTACAAAGCATTTACTTACATAACTGCTTCGAATGCACTGCTCTCCCGTTTCTTGGCCAACTTTCAATTCAATTCTCTTCACTTTCATAACATGCCTGATTTGGACACTATAGAATGAAAACTTTGCAGGTTATAGCATGTCTTTTCCTTCTTTACTGTAACTAAAATTCAACAATACGCCAAACCTTCTAGTCTGGGAAGATTTGAAAAATGGTAACATGCCTAAACTTCTCCATCTTCAATTAGAGAATTGTCCAATCTTAAAGTTCCTTCCTTTCCTCCAAAGTCTCCCTTCTCTTTTGAAACTTTGGACATGAGTCGTTGTCTAGAAGTTCAATTCTCGCCAAATGGAGAAGTACCAGAATCCTTGAATTCCTTAATTGTTAGAGAGTGTGACGTCTTACATCGTGATAGGAGCAAAATACTTTCTATATCCCCTATGTTGAAGTTTATGGTCAAATTCTTTAAGGACATCTGCCTTCCAATTGAATGCTATTTTATGTTTGAAGCTATAGCTGCATAGATGAATGGAAGGGGTAGAGCTGCAGGTATGATGATTACAGTTAAACTTGCAAATTAATTAATTGGATACACAATTCTTGAGCCATGGAGTGTTACAACCATTTAGTAACTTGATTTGTAAGAGATAACATTGTTATCGTCTTGATGTAGCTATAGATGGATCCAAGCGAGTCTATTTGCGCCTCTAGAAGTTTTAGTTTGATGGTGAGAGTATCTTAGTTTCTCACCCATCAAGTTTCGAGTTAGATACGGTACTCTGTTGAACCATAAACTGGGGAACCTTAAGTGATTCTATTTGTAATTTGTAGGCTTGAAGCGGATATAGATCATACTGATTGTTGGTGGTGCATTGTTATTTTGCACACTATATCCACAGCATTTTTAATCTTTTGACAGATAGTTTTTCCTTGTGTACATCCGTAGCTGTGGAAGATTGCATTTAAAATTTGAAATTCTGCATTTGAAAATATTGGAGACAATTACTAAAATATTATGATAATTGCATGACAATTATTTATTATTATTATTATTATTATCTGAAATTTGACAATATCTAAGTTCAATAAATAATTACCTGAAGAAATGTCCACACTCCACACTGAAGTTAGGGATCGGTTACAGTCTCTGTAACAAAGGGGCCGATATTTCCTTTTGAACTTGTTCTAAAAATATGACACAATGTGACTTGGCCCATATTTACTAGATTGTATGTGCAAATCTCAACTATCACTGTGAGTATCTTATTAGTAGGGGGAAAAAAATCTAGAATACAATGACAAAAGCTTATGGCCACTGCAGATACATTTGTTGAAAGAAAAACAAGGTACCCCGTGTACTGAGAAACTAAACATGGATAAACAACACCACAAAAATGCAACCCTTATAGGTGATAAAACACTGCAACTGTAATGACTTTTATTCATAAGATCACCAAAGCTTCCTCAGTATCCCCTCCTGACTTAAAATTGATGATACAATTTCTTGGAAATCATAACCTCTTGGCCACTGAATATACACGGGTAACTCTCTGATGTAATTTATAGTGCCTAGCAACTTCTACCACGTTCAACTTTTTCTCAATTACTTCAGCACAGTACATGGTTCTTCTTCCAAAATTTCCTTGACTGCAAGAACAGGCTTTGAAGATTTGTGGCTTCTAGCAGATGAGACGCATAACCCTTCAACATCAGTATTTTTTGCCCTTGACATTGCCTCATTTGGATTGAATCCTAGCCCTATAACAATCAGCATCAAAGTCAATCACACAGCCCTCTCACAAGACAATTAACTTGAACAAAATGGCATAAAATAAATGGTTTGCTTGATCTAAAAAAAGGAAAGCATGTAATATGCATGTTTTATAGCCTTTTCTAAGTTCAAATCTCTAATGTAATTTTGCTTCTTTCAGTGCTTGATGTACAGTTTTGATAGTTAATGGAATGTCACCTTTCACTCCAAAAAAACAGAGAGGAGGAAAGCATGTAACATGCATGTTTTATTATTGCATGGCAATGGCAAGTTTGGCCGTCTTCATGTGCGTTTGTTTTTTTTTGAAGAGGAAATTATTCAAAATAAAAATCTTATAATAATTGATAACTTCATAAAGGATGTGATTCATATGAAGGAAAAGAGAGGGAGATCATGTGAATATTATATCATCATCGAGTAACAGAGAGATGCTTGGGAATAAACTTTTGAAGGTTGGAATGTCACCAAACGAGAAAAGAAGAGCCACCAGCCACGTGGAAGTCCCTGCGTTGCACGTCCAAAGTCGCATCAGTTAAGAGCATACGCTAGCACCGTAGAGGTACTTTGATAATATTTGTTTTGAAAGTAACATTATAAGGATTTTTTTTTTTTTTAATATTCTATATACCAAGCATGACATAAAGTAGATACGCAGTGTCACCCTGTCATTTTGACATCTTAAAGAAGTGGGTTCGTTAAAAAGAATTTTATCTTTACACATATACTATCAAGCAATATAATATATATATATATATTTTTACTTTTCCTTCTTCATTTCCTCCATATTTGACAATATTAAAGAATAAATTTTTAACATAAATAAATTCAGTAGCTTTAGCTTGTTAATATAAAAATGCCATGTCAGGTATAATAAATTCAAGCACGTGTTCTGCCAAATGACAAAATCCAAATTTGAGACTGGAAATGGCAGCAAAACTTGAGACGAGAAAAAAGCTAAGCCTCATTTAAAGAATATCAAAACATCTTCAATATTTCAGCACTAATAAAAAAAAATTATTCATATACAATTATTTTTTTTAACCCCTCCCTTTTCCTTCATTAAAACCCTTTCCCTTCCCTCAGACCAAATGCTTTTAAGGTGAAATTATTTTCACAAATAATTTAAAATATCGGGCTCCTCTAGAATAATTTAAAAACAAAGATGCACCTTAATCTTGTAATTAATTATATAACCACTTCATCCAGACAAGAACATTGTACTAATATTTTTTCACAAAGCTCACTCTGTCTCCGCTCTCCAAGCTCACTGAAGTTACCGAAGGCTCTCGTACATCCCTCTTCTCGTTTGCTTCGCTCTCTGCACCTTTCTCCTTCTCTCACTCTCTGATTTTTCTCGCTAGATTTGTTTCTCTGTAATTGAGTATCTCAAATTCGCGTTGTTCAGGAGGTAGATATGGTGGTCTTCAAGGCTTCGCGAATAGAAACCACGCCTTTCGACGGCCAGAAGCCTGGAACTTCTGGTCTCCGTAAGAAGGTCTGGTTTTTGTCTTTTTCATTTGTTATCTCACGCTTTCTCCTGTGCTGTGTCTTATCCATAATCTCCAACTTCATCTGTTTTCATTGAATGATCATTTGTCTGATCATTTCCGTGATTTGATTTTTGAATTTTCAGCCTTCAATGGATTTGAATCTCTTTTTCTCTGAATTTTCTGTTTTGAGGTTTGAGTTATAGATCCTATCGAGAAACGCTACCTTCTCAATTTGATCTGTATCCGATCATATTGATTTGATTGATAGCTGACTGCTTGTACGATATCTTGAAAAATTTAACTGATATGACTCCTGATAAAGGAAGGATTTAGATTGGAATCTACTATGTGATAAGAATGCTGCATTTTTGCCAAAACTTTTATTCGGATATACAGAGTTAAATAGATCAGTTAAAGAGAGCAATCAATTTTAGTGCTTGCATGGAATCAGTGATCAGTCCAATTTATATTGAACAACTGGATGATTGTGTTAGGCATCCATCTATCAATATCAATATATTAGATAAAATGCATGAAGAACCAAATTATATATAAATTATAAACAACACTAGTTGACTCATTACATGCGATGCACAGAGCCCACATCTAGTGATGTTATAGAAGCATGGCGTCTATTAACATATCACAGGAGGTGTTATCTTATGATAGCCGAAACACTGTCATCTTCTATGGTAATTAACTTGATAACAAATTTCATGGTCTACATGAACTGTTATCTTTATTCTGAAAGAATTTTCCCCCTTTTTTAATGCATTTTCTATGCAAACCAACTAAATGGATAAAAAAAATGTGGCAAAGTTGCATTCCTAGTCATGCAGCTTCAATTGTATGTATAATGTATTGGAATCAGTTCTATTGAATATGAAGATCGCATGTGATGGTAAGATTGTAGTTCTATCTATATTTGTTTTGCAGGCTTTTTTTTTTTTTTTTTATAACTGTAAGATTAGAATGTTTAATCTGTCTGTTCTATGCTATCTGGGCTAACTTCATAATCATGCCTGGGGTCTTTTGCTTATGTGGATGTGCTGTATATTCCTTTTCCAAAGTTACAAATTCAATGTCATGAATTTATGGTGAACAAGATTAATTACTATGATTTGCATTGATTGCTTGGGACTGCAGACAGGATAATTAGAGTTTAACTGAATTTTGTTGTTGCAGAATCACTTTTACATGAGAAGTTGTGTATGTTCTGTTGCTTTTTCCATTTTCTATCTAATATATAGATTGGACGGATCATTTCAGGTGAAGGTATTCATTCAGCCAAATTACCTGCACAATTTTGTCCAGTCAACATTCAATGCTTTGACCTCAGAAAAAGTTAGAGGTTCGTTTTTATCTATTTTATCCTTTTGGGTTTTCTTGGTGAGTATCCTAAATAGGTTTTCAACTTTACAATGTTTCGAAGCTTGGGAATGCTTCTTGACTGGTTGACCCATCTTATGTTAGGCCTGTGTTGAATAGTCCTGCTATTGGAACCATGTGCCAGAATTCACTACAGAAATGAGTTTTCCCCCCCTCTTTTCTCTGCTTTTTTTAATGCACCAAAGTGGTTTGAAGAATTAGTTTGTCTATCTAGAAGGAAATTTAGCTCAGTTCACCAAGATTAATATGTTGTATGAATCAAAATGTCATCATGACCTTACATCTGTAATAGTGATTGTCCGTACTTGTCACATCTGGAGGACTGCAACAAATATAGTTTGAAATTTTGATTTTATGTGCTTCCTCTTTTCTGTTTAGCTGGGCTTCCTTTACATGGCAATGGATATTTTGTTTAAATGGACTGCATTATTGGCACAGTGCTTGTGATCAGGATTAATGCTCTACCTTGTAAAGAAATAAAGAAGAGAATTTTAATTTCTTTTTCTTATTGTTGATATAGATTTGTGGAATTACATATATTTCATTTTAAAGACTGTTTTTCTTTTCACTTGTCTCCTTTTCATGGAGTATGCTGCATGTGGTGGACTATAATAAACTATAACCATTATGTATACAGGTGCTACACTTGTTGTGTCAGGGGATGGTCGCTATTTTTCAAAGGAAGCAATTCAGGTACGTTTCAACAGCTGACTTTTTTCTGAATGTACTCAACCTCCATGAACTGGGTGGGATTAACTTCTTGGTGGCTACAGTATTTTGATTTATCAATAAGGAAGCTAATACCTAACACATCAATGCCATAGCTTGGTACTTGGAAATTCTTTTGTTGGTTTTTTTCTTAGTGGCATGGTGGTTTTTTAAATCTCAATTTGTTGCTGACTTTGGCTTAGGATTGGATATGGATAGCATTTTATAGTACTGTGCAGGCTAAGCTGTCAATTACACTATTCCATCCCCTTATCACAGTTTGCACTTAGTTTAAGTTCTTGTTCTTGGTCTTGAAATTTATTGTTTCTTTTAATTTATATTGGGGAAGAAATGAGGTCAAGAAAATGAGGTGATAGAGATACAGAGCCTAATATACTTTATATCACTTCTAGGATTTCAACCTGTGAAAGGCAATACCTTACCTTGGCTTTTCTAGCACCACTAGATTGGAGATTGTTGTTTCCAGGTCTGAACTTCATGTAGGTTATGCAGTGATATTTAATGGTAGGTCAGAAATGGATTTTCTATTCAGGAGAATGTAGTTCTGTCCTGTTTGGATTTTATTCTGAGTATATGGTTCTGCCTCTGCATCATTACTCTTATTGTAATCTAATGGGAAACGGTACATGCCATGGTTCTCTCTATGCATAGAATATATCTTCAGAATGTCAATATCATGAAATACATATTTAAAGGTTTTATTTAATTTGCAGATTATTACCAAAATGGCAGCAGCAAATGGAGTAAGACGTGTTTGGATTGGTCAAAACGGATTGCTTTCAACTCCTGCTGTATCTGCTGTTATACGTGAAAGAGTGGGGGTTGATGTGAGTTATTGTTCTGCAATTTGCTGTGATTATCCTTCAAACTGTCAAATCATTGCTTTTATTGTCAACGGTACAAATGATCTTTCTTTTGGGTCAATGGAAACGATGGATCTGATTCTATTTTTACACCAGGGATCCAGAGCAACAGGTGCATTTATACTGACTGCAAGTCATAATCCTGGTGGACCTCATGAGGTGGGTACTCCCATATTTACTTTTAGTCAATTATGAAGCTGTGAAGTTTTTATTACTGATTATGATGATATCTGGTTTGGTGGTCCAGTGTGGGGAGCTTTCTTATCAGTGTAGTGGTTGTTCGATCTCTTAATTTTCATTTTTAGGTTGCAACCTATTGATTTCAGGAATCATTTGTGTTGCTATGAATATGTATAGGACAATAGGATATTTTAAATGATCCTTCAGGGGCTAATTTATATTTGTCTTAATTTTTGTCCACTAGATCCTGTTACTATTGGTTGGATAGTGTTTTCTTTCAGATGAGTTAATCATAACGTTTGATGAAATTACATGGTAAAAGTTTCATAACATGATAAATGATAAAACTAACACCTATTACTCACACGTTAAAGTTCTACTTTGACTTTTCAAAGTGGAAAATGGATGTACTTGCTGAGATGATCAGAACAAAGGGACTACTCTGAAAATTGATGAAGAACATATTCACAAATTGAGTTTGATTCAGAACATCTAAATGTTTTATTCTGCTTGTCTCTGTTTTTTTTTTTCCTGAATGAACTGCCATTCTTGTCCTTGAGAGATATTGTTGCCATGATTAATTCTTGGAAATTTTTAAAAATACATTTGTTCAGCATGACGTAGGGCTAAATTGATGACAATAAATTTATTGGTCAAGGCTAAATTGATGGCAGTAATTTTGTATTAAATTAATGTCATTGAAATCTTTCAAGGACCTATTATCCAATATTATAGTTTAGCTTTATTTTGGTTTGTTATTTATTTATCTTTCTGCACTTTCCATTTAAAGCTTAGGGGAAATAAAAATAATGTTCTTCAAATTAAGTAAAAATAAAATAATGTTTTGAGATCATGCACAAGAACATTGTTATATGACTATTCCTAATTCTCCTGGTCTGCATCTCTCTTCTTTGTGAATT